TATCAGTCGACGAGTCGCGTTTTCTCTTGGGGATTGGTTCTCCTCGTTTATCTTCTGTCATGTTTGGGTGTTGCGTGTTGTTGTAATATTTGTCGATATATTTCACTAGCCTTATGATTTGTTTTGTGTTATTATCCAGATTGAATTTTATTTAATGCGAATTTATGAAATGCTAATATTTAGTCTAACTTACTGATTTTTAATATTATGTTTTTATCTTGAGGTGGTTTGTACCGCTTTCTATTCAATATGTCATCTTGTCTAACGCACGCGCATGTTGTTTTTCTTCTGTCAGTGTCAGCTGCTGAAGCCCCCCACCATTAGCTCTGAAAAATGTAAAACCCTAGTCATTGGCAACTCTATTACCCGCAATGGAGTGACGAACCACCCTGCTGTCTCTGCCTGGTTGAAAGAATGCCAAGAGTGTGCAAAGATGTCATCAAGGCAAATTATGGCTATTTGAAGAATCTCAAACATAAAATATATTTTGATTTGTTTAACACTTTTTTGGTTACTATATGATTCCATATGTGTTATTACATAGTTTTGATGTCTTCACTATTATTCTACAATGTAGAAAATATTAAAAACAAAGAAAAACCCTTTAATGAGTAGGTGTGTCCAAACCTTTGACTGGTAGTGTGTGTATATATATATATATATATATATATATATATATATATATATATACAGTTTTCAGCTGTGCTAACATGAAAACTGTTGTGCTGATTAAAGAAGCAATAAAACTGGCCTTCTTGAGATTAGTTGAGTATCTGGAGCATCAGCAATTGTGGGTTCGATTACAGGTTCAAAATGGCCAGAAACAAATAACTTTCTTCTGAAACTCGTCAGTCTATTCTTGTTCTGAGAAATAAAGGCTATTCCATGCAAAAAATTGCCAAGAAAATGAAGATCTCGTACAACGCTGTGTACTACTCCCTTCACAGAACAGCGCAAACTGTCTCTAACCAGAATAGAAAGAGGAGTGGGAGGCCCCGGTGCACAACTGAGCAAGAGGACAAATACATTAGAGTGTCTAGTTTGAGAAACAGACGCCTCACAGGTCCTCAACTGGCAGCTTCCTTAAATAGTATCCGCAAAACACCAGTCTCAACGTCAACAGTGAAGAGGCGACTCCGGGATGCTGACCTTCTAGGCAGAGTTGCAAAGAAAAAACCATATCTCAGACTGGCCAATAAAAAGAAAAGATGGGCAGTCTGAGATATGGCTTTTTCTTTGCAACTCTGCCTAGATTGTTTAAATGAATTAGGCCTTCTCGAATTAGCCTACTTTCAGCACCCATGCGCTGTCCATATCTGTAGCTGCTGCTTCATAGTACGGCAACGAAACATTTTGTTTTTATTCAAATAAATTATAGCAGTAGCAAGCTTACCTCCGGTCCACCTTCTCATCTTCGCGCTCTCCCTCTCAAACTGAACAAGACATCAATAGGCCTAGTCCGCACGCACAGATATTGCATTTTTTGGACAAATTCAAAATTATTTTCTGAAGAAGCCTTTGACTCGCCTCCTGAAGTGCCACCATACACAGCACATTCATTGGTTAGGCAGCACAAAAGGGTTTACATCAGCAAGAGCAGTGCAGGCCGGAGCTCATGATTGAGAACACCTATCCATTGCAGTGTGTAATGCAGTGTAGCCTGGTTTTACACCATTCCAGCACCGCAAAAACTCGGGAAGGAAGTACATTTTCTTAGAAATATAACTTTGCTCTGTGATTCTCCAAGAATGCTCTTAGTATAGCCTAGGCCTGTAGCCTATAGTATAGGCTATGGATAATTGTATTGAGACCACACTAGGCACACTTGATATTGCGCGCCCAGCAGAGAATCAGGGATGAGGGGCATCATCGGGAACACATTGAGATACTATAATAAGTAACTAATTCTCAATCCCTGAGCAATATGACATTTAATCTATTACACATTTCATGACCCTCCCCTGGACTAAATAAAAAAACACTAAACCCTCCCCCTGACTGAAATTGAAAAAGCATGACCCTCCCCCATTTTCCTCCAGGTAACAATTATGTAAATTTCGACCGCTCCTTAATTTTATATGGCAAAATAATTAAACATGTCCATAAGATGATAGTATACAGTATGTTGCCCACTCACAAACTATTACAACAATGACATCTATTTCTCACTAATTTAAAGGTGCACTATGCAGAAATCGCTCCGCCATTTCCTGGTTGCTAAAATTCCAATAGTTTGCCTAATTTCAGTTTATGTGACAAAACAAGCAAGTATAGTGTAGAGAATCATTGTACAATCTAAACCGCTATGAAATATATTTTCCATAAACCAACATGTTTTTTTTTTCAGCTGTTTGAAACTGGTGTACAAAACCGAAAGTAAAAGACTCAAAAACTAAACTTAAGAACGAGAAGCATAGAAATAACACACATAGAACAGATCTACTGCTTTTTAGACTTGCTTTCAATGAGAATGACAGGTCTATAACTAACATTTGTATGTGAATTTGGCAGGGTCTTCCAAAAGTTACATATTGCAGCTTTAAAGAAAAAAACTGCTTATCAACATTTCATGAATAGGCTTATAATGTAGGCTGAGTGATACCACTGTGAGATCAGTATTGTTGTTTTAACTAGCAAGTACAAGGCACTTACAGAATCAGTTCTCATATTTCAATGCTCTCTGCAGTGTGAAAATATGACAAAGCGCAGATGCATATTATAACTTTAGCATTTTAGACCTCTGTCAGTGGCAAATCCAAAGTGGTATTTGCTGGAATGAGATGTAGAAATAGTGTAATGTTATTGTATGTCAAAATGCCTGATGGGAAAGTAGGCTTTGCAGTAGCACGCATCACATTTTCACCCTGTATATTGGACAACGGTTAAATAATACAAATACTGCTGTCAAGGACATCAACCACCCGAGCCACGGCCTGTTCACCCCGCTATCATCCAGAAGGCGAGGTCAGTACAGGTGCATCAAAGCTGGGACCAAGAGACTGAAAAACAGCTTCTATCTCAAGCCATCACTAGCCGGCTTCCACCCGGTTACGCAACCCTTGGACTTGGAATCACTGGCCACTTTAATAATGGAACACTAGTCACTTTAATAATGTTTACATACTGCTTTACTCATCTCATATTTATATACTGTATTTTAGTCAATGCCACTTCTACATTGCTCGAACTAAAATGTAATCTTAATTACATTATTTTACTTTTAGATTTTTGTTGTGAATTGTTAGATACTACTGCACTGTTGGAGCTAGGAACACAAGCATTTCACTACACCCGCATTAACATCTGCTAAATATGTGTATGTGACCAATAAAATGTTATTTGGTAGTGTGGTCCTCTGTAGCTCAATTGGTAGAGCATGGCGCTTGTAACGCCAGGGTAGTGGGTTCGATCCCCGGGACCACCCATACGTAAAAATGTATGCACACATGACGGTAAGTCGCTTTGGATAAAAGCGTCTGCTAAATGGCATATTATTATTATTATTATTTGATTTGATTTGATTCCAACATGATTACTGTTTTTGCTTTGTTTCAATGTCAGAAATTAGCAGAATGTTATGTCTTATTAGCAGATACAGGGAGTTGGCTCAACAGATGTTGAGGCAATGTTAGTGGGGCTGGTGCTGGCTTGACCCTGAATCTGCTGGTGTATGGGGCACAGGAGGTTGGTGGCACCTTAATCGGGGAGGATGGGCTTGTGGTGTTGGCTGGAGCGGGATCAGTGGAATGGTATCAAATACATCAAACACATGGTTTCCATGTGTTTGATGGCATTCCTGAATGTCCGTTCCAGACATTATTATGAGCCGTCCTCCCCTCAGCAGCCTCCACTGGTATGGGGTTGTATGAGGGGAATGTCTGCGCAGCATCAGAGGAATGGGACTTGTTTTAAGCATTCTAAGCACTGTTGCACAGTGGTGTGTTTTTACTTTGTTTAGCTGGATTATGCCAATGAAGATTTTTTTTTTGTATCATTAAATCATTAACACCTAGTTTTTATGTGTTTGTAGTTTGTTTCAAAACCAACTAATCAGAAGTGATTTCATCCCTGCATTCTGGGAATCTTTCTGAGGTCTCCAAGAGCAAGAGCCTGTAAGGGCAGATACAATCTAAATAAATCTAATTATGATGCCAGTTCAAAAAGTCATGACCTCAGTCAAGCATCAATTTATAACCTTACTAGTGGTTACACAGTTAATCTGTGTACAGGCAGTATGTAAGCTTTAAGAAGCTCTCTATTCCCTTCTGTGAAAATCTACCTGATACAAATGGAACTCAAACTCAAACAACCACTTATTTGACTATTTATTTATTGACAGCCTTATTTACTTTGGGTCATAAAAAAACAAGTAGATTAGGGTCATATTGTTGGATGGGTAAAAAACATGTGTAGGTTAGACTACCACATTGTTTACCCAGTAAAGATTAAGGATGAGATACTGGGTAAGGTAATTGTCATGATGTAGGGATGTTGTTGTTATTGTATCCACAGATTAATGGCCAGACACTGTGAGGATAACATACCAGGGCGTATATGCCACCGCTGTTTGTACACAACATCATTTAAGGTTAACATGGCAGATACCAGAAGTCAAACAGTTAAACCTAGATACCTAAAGCTCACTGCTAAAAACACAGATGAAAGAAATGCACATATTCAAAACCACTAATAGACCCATATATATATATATATATATTTTTTTTACATCCATTGGTGGGACATTAAAAAAGCCATTTCAGCTTCCAAAATGCTCTAGTGGCTAAAATGATCAGTGAAAAGGTTTGACCAATGGTCAATGGTGGATCACAGAGGGGTGTTTTGCTTACAAACTCTTAACAGGACAGAGATAAGAGAAGAAAAAAAGCCACCAAGCGCTGCACGCATGCTGATTGGCCCAGGTGGTTGGAAGCGGGGAGTCTTAAGATTATGGTGTTTACTAATGTTAAGGGGATTAACAGTTGTGGGGAAGAGAGGATCAGGGAATAGAGACGGGTGCCACTCTTGTTCAGTCTGGAGCTCCATCTTCCTCCTCCATGTCAGGATAGACCTCCTTTGCTCTGCCGGTGCCTTCCCGGAGGATGACATTTGGCAAAAGGGAATACCGAATGCAAAGAAATACAGCAAGATGGTCCCAAAGCCTTCGGTCAACCATGTGAATGCAGCAGAAGTAAACCTTCAGGTAAAAGCCAAAGTAAAAGTGTTTGTTGACTTAGTGGTATCCTTCCAACTGTACATGTTGTGTGTATGTATTGTGGCTGGGGTTATATGGGTTATGAAGTTGTTATAACCTGCTTCTATTCCACCTTGGATTTGTCATTAGTCTTAGTTATGGGACTGAATAACAAATTACTAAAGCCTACCATAGCAGTAGCACCAGTGATGTAGTGGTAAAAAAATAGGTGGGTAAATGCTGATCACCGTTCGCGGAGAATAAAGTTACGCTCCCTATACTTTCAATGTATTTTCCCGCAAAAGTGGATAAACTCTCACGCAAAATAAAAAAGGTGCGTAAACGGCGTTTACCTGCGTTTACCCTCCACTACACCACCAAGTAGCACCAAGTTACTACAACAGAACACATTTCAGCCTCTACAAGTCTTAAAGGATTAAAATGCATAACCATCACTCATGATCCCTTTGTTTAGTTCTACTACATTTCAATATTATTCAAATATAGGTTATTGCTTGTCAAAGAACAATGGGGTCAAAGTAGTGTGGGGTCAAAAGGTGAAATACTATTGCCAAACTTCAACAGAAGTGTTCCTTTTAAGCATATTGTCTGCTGTATTGGATTCCAAATTAATGTTATTAGGTCTATTAGTGATACGATGGTAATTTTAAAATATTTTTTTTTGCTCTCATGACCGGCTGTCTTTCGTGGCTAAGGCCACCAGCCAAGAGTACAGAAATACCTCAGCTAAGCTGCTTATGAGGTCCTCCAGAAAATAACTCTGCACTTTTCTACTTCCCCCACCCCTCCCTCTTCCCCACTGGCCCACAGACAGCCCTTTCCAGAAATCACCTCTCCCCCCCCCTTCTTCTGGATGAGAAGGGAAGACTTTGACAGGACACATAGACACAGAAAATACAAAAAAAATGGCGGTCTTAAAGGTGACATTCACCAAGACCACTCGAGGCAAGCTAGCCCAGGTGTTGTGGGTCCTCAACTGGATCTCTGTGGTAACGGGCATCATCCTCTTCAGCCTGGGCCTCTTCCTGAAAGTGGAGATCCAGAAACGGAAGGAGCTTATGTCCGCTGATGTCCATTCCGTGCCCGACATGCTCATCGCCACAGGCCTGGTGGCCTGTGCCATCAACTTTGTGGGAGGCAAGATCTGCTACGATTGCGTTGACACCACCAAGTTCCTGCGATGGAAGCTGCTGATGCTACCATACATTGTGTGCACCTTCTTCTTTACCTTCTGCATCCTGGTGGGCGCGCTCATGTGCTACAGCATGCGTAACGAACTGGAGGAGTCACTGTTTCTGGGATTGCGCAACGCCATGCTCTACTACAAGGACACAGGCACTCCGGGACGATGCTATTTGAAGCGCACCGTGGATTTGTTGCAGATCCAATTCCAGTGTTGCGGAAACGCCGGTTTCCGCGATTGGTTCCATGTCCAATGGATCAACAACCGCTGGTTGGACATGACCGACAGTGAAGTAACAGAGTAAGTGCAAGGACTACAGTATATCACCAACAGGAGCACAGTCTACCCAGCCATCAGGGCCACAGTCTACCCAGCCAACAGGGCTACAGTCTACCCAGCCATCAGGGCCACAGTCTACCCTGTTGACAGGGCCAGAGTGCACCCAAATTATACAGTGTTCTTCCCAAATGATACACACTTTATGTAAGAACTTAACTAACCTTGTTGAACTTAATTCCAACCTCCATTACTGTCAGAATCTGTTGGGTACTTAATCAAGTAAATTGAACCTGTGAATAACCACAACAAAATGGGCCATCTTTGTGCCTCGTAAGACTGACAAAATACATACTAACAAACTTATAGTGAACAATACTGGAAGCAGATGCTACCTGCTTCCAAAACCAATACACCAATCCTCATCCTTAAGCTGCTCAGTCAAACCATTAAGCAGCAACATTGTATCGACTGAAAAGGGTGAGGTCAAAGGTTACGAGACAGAGATTCATTCTGTCGGGGTCAGGAGGTCACTTTGACAGGAAATGACCTTGCCCGGCAGGTATGTTGAATAATGCGTCTCTTTTAATATTAGGTCTTGTATCCGATAATATTTTGTCTCATGATTTTCAACTTGACAATGATGCATTGTCATACAAAACCCAAAGTATTAGAGATTTCACAATTTCTGATATATTGCATAGTGACTTAAATACAAACAAATTTCAAGCATAAGTAACATTTAAAATAGTGATGGAAGTCCATTCATCTACCTTTACCAAACAGCCAACCTTCGTAATGTTTACCTCCTGAGTAACCTTCTAGCCTAATCTCCTAACCTTACAAGTAACCTCCTAAAGAGCGGGGCAAACATATGGCTCTTACCTGTCTCTGGTTTGGGAAGGGGCACACTAAGATGGACAGTTTCCTTCATTTATTCATTAAGGATGCCAATATGATGCTGGGGGTTAATAGGTTGGGTTTAAATGGATGAGAAAAAGTAAAGCATCAGTAAAGTCATAGGTCTATCCCACTGGGCACAGACGTCAATTCAACGTTTATTCCACTTTGGGTCAACGTAATTTCATTGAAATGACGTGGAAACAACGTTGATTCAACCAGTCTGTGCCCTGTGGGATGTTTCTGCTTAGATTCTTTAGCAAGAGAGATTATGCCAAATATGACTCAGCATAATGGCTTAAAAGACATCTCTCTCTTTCTTTCTCTCTCTCCTGCAGTCATTTGAGGAGTAACGTGGATGGCAAGTACCTGATGGATGGGGTGCCTTTTAGCTGCTGTAACACATTCTCTCCACGACCCTGCATCCAGACACAGGTCACCAACAACTCCGCCCATTACAACTATGATTGGAAGACGGATGAGCGCAACCTGTGGACGAGGGGCTGCCGCCAGGTCCTGCTGGATCATTACACCAACATCATGCAGTCCATCGGCTTTACCGTGCTCATCATCTGGTTGTTCGAGGTTGGTTTTACTTATCCTATGCTCGCTTCTTGTCCTTTACTTGGAAAAAGCCACTATGGGTTGACATACCCTTTATTTTACATTCAGTATTTACTTTGACATTACATGGTACATGATGGTGATATAATTATGGGGTAGTTTGAGGAGAATATCAATGTATTAAGAATTAGGTCATTGCTGCCATCACATGATATATTGGTTTATGATAACTATAATTGTGGAGATGGGGTGCACCTAATTATTACAGGCCCGACAAAGGCCTTGTCGTAATAGTTCAGGAGGACACCCAGATATTCCAGTCCAGTGACCTGACTGTGGCAGAGGATATTTCCCTGAGGGCAATACAATTGGTGTACCCCGTCTCCAGGGAGGTGCCACTCTCCCAATTCCAAGACCAAATTGGGCAGGGGTTGATCACCTTAGAGATAACAGTCACAAAAGACAGTACAGCCTCCGAGAAGGAACGCTACCCTAACGAGAGCCATGGGAGGAGGCCGTCGTTGTCCGGTGGAGGGAGGCTGCCATCCACCCCCTCCATTTTAGGGCAGCGTGTCGGCATCTCCTTCCAGGTGACAAGAGGCAATTTGGTTTAAAGGCCAACGTCACAGAAATATCCCTGAGTGCGATGGAGACCAACAAAGAAATGGTGATGGACTCCTACAAGATTACATTTACATTTTAGTCACTCTTATACAGAGCGATTTACAGTTAGTGCATTCATCTTAAGGTAGATGGTGAGGCAACTACATATCACAGTCATAGAAAGTACATTTTTCCTCAACAAACTACCTATCAGCAAAGTCAGTGCTAGTAAGAAAAGTGTGAGTGTTAGTGCAAGAAAAGCAATGTTGTTACTTAAAGGCAGGGGTGTCTGAGACAGAAAAAGGAAAAGAGAAAGGGGGATACCTACAATACCAGTCAAAAATGTGGACACACCTCCTCATTCAAGGGTTTGTCTTTCTTTTTACTATTTTTTACATTGTAGAATAATAGTGAAGACATCAAAACTATGAAATAACACATATGGAATCATGTAGTAACCAAAAAAGTGTTAAACAAATCAAAATATATTTTATATTAAAGATTCTTCAATTAGCCACCCATTGCCTTGATGACAGCTTTGCACACTCTTGGCATTCTCTCAACCAGCTTCATGAGATAGTCACCAGGAATGCATTTAAATTAACAGGTGTGCCTTCTTAAAAGTTAATTTGTGGAATTTATTTCCTTCTTAATGCATTTGAGGTAGGAGGATATACAGAAGAGAGTCCTATTTGGCAAAAGACAAAGTCCATATTATGGCAAGAACAGCTCAAATAAGCAAAGAGAAACAGTCCATCAATACTTTAAGACATGAAGGTCAGTCAATGCGGAACATTTAGAGAACTTTGAACGTTTCTTCAAGTGCAGTCGAAAGAACCATCAAGCGCTATGATGAAACTGGCTCTCATGAGGACCACCACAGGAATGGAAGACCCAGAGTTACCTCTGCTGCAGAGGATAAGTTAATTAGAGTTACCAGCCTCAGAAATTGCAGCCCAAATAATTGCTTTAAATAGTTCAAGTAACAGACACATCTCAACATCAACTGTTCAGAGGAGACTGTGTGAATCAGGCCCATGGTCGAATTGCTGCAAAGAAAACACTAATAAAGGACACCAATAACAAGAAGAGACTTGCTAGGGCCAAGAAACACGAGCAATGGACATTAGACCGGTGGAAATGTGTCCTTTGGTCTGGTCTCCAAATTGGAGATTTTTGGTTCCAACCGCCGTGGCTTTGTGGGATGTGGTGTGGGTGAACGGATGATCTCTGCATGTATATTTCCCACTGTAAAGCATGGAGCAGGAGGTGTTATGGTGTGGGGGTGCTTTGCTGGTGACACTGTCTGTGATTTATTTAGAATTCAAGGCACACTTAACCAGCATGGCTACCACAGCATTCTGCAGTGATACGCCATCCCATCTGGTTTGGGTTTAGTGGGACTATCATTTGTTTTTCAACAGGACAATGACCCAACACACCTCCAGGCTGTGTACGGGCTATTTTACCAAGAAGGAGAGTGATGGAGTGCTGCATCAGATGACCTGGCCTCCACAATCCCCCAACCTCAACCCAATTGAGATGGTTTGGGATGAGTCGGACGGCTGAGTGAAGGAAAAGCAGCCAACAAGTGCTCAGTATATGTGGGAACTCCTTCAAGACTGTTGGAAAAGCATTCCAGGTGAAGCCGGTTGAGAGAATGCCAAGAGTGTGCATGGGTGGCTATTTGAAGAATCTCAAATATAAAATATATTTTGATTTGTTTAACACTTTCTTGGTTAATACATGTTTCCATATGTGTTATTTCATAGTTTTGATGTCTTAACTATTATTCTACAATGTAGAAAATAGTAAAAATAAATAAGAAAAACCCTGGAATGAGTAGGTGTGTCCAAACCTTTGACTGTTACTGTAGTCAGTTGTACAACTGAATGCATTCAACTGAAAAATGTCTTCCACATTTTACCCAAACCCTCTGAATCAGAGGGGGCCCCATTGAGTAAAGAGTTTTTTTTTTGGAGACGACTTAATCATAAATCCTTTCATCAATATTGAAACCAAGCACCTCATATTACTCTAGGTTGGGCAGAGTCATGTTATTTTATGACAAAAACTTGAATACTTGGCGCTGTCCTTGTTGCAAGCAAAGGAATTATTGTCTACACAAGTGCATTGCAAAAATGCATTTGATCCAGATACAGTGAGGGAAAAAAGTATTTGATACCCTGCTGATTTTGTACGTTTGCCCACTGACAAAGAAATGATCAGTCTATAATTTTAATGGTAGGTTTATTTGAACAGTGAGAGACAGAATAACAACAAAATAATCCAGAAAAACGCATGTCAAAAATGTTATAAATTGATTTGCATTTTAATGAGGGAAATCAGTATTTGACCCCCTCTCAATCAGAAAGATTTCTGGCTCCCAGGTGTCTTTTATACAGGTAACGAGCTGAGATTAGGAGCACACTCTTAAAGGGAGTGCTCCTAATCTCAGTTTGTTACCTGTATAAAAGACACCTGTCCACAGAAGCAATCAATCAATCAGATTCCAAACTCTCTACCATGGCCAAGACCAAAGAGCTCTCCAAGGATGTCAGGGACAAGATTGTAGACCTACACAAGGCTGGAATGGGCTACAACACCATCGCCAAGCAGCTTGGTGAGAAGGTGACAACAGTTGGTGCAATTATTCGCAAATGGAAGAAACACAAAAGACTGTCAATCTCCCTCGGCCTGGGGCTCCATGCAAGATCTCACCTCGTGGAGTAGCAATGATCATGAGAATGGTGAGGAATCAGCCCAGAACTACCTAGGAGGATCTTGTCAATGATCTCAAGGCAGCGGGGACCATAGTCACCAAGAAAACATTAGGTAACACACTACGCCGTGAAGGACTGAAATCCTGCAGCACCCGCAAGGTCCCCCTGCTCAAGAAAGCACATATACAGGGCCGTCTGAAGTTTGCCAATGAACATCTGAATGATTCAGAGGAGAACTGGGTGAAAGTGTTGTGGTCAGATGAGACCAAAATCGAGCTCTTTGGCAACAACTCAACTCGGCGTGTTTGGAGGAGGAGGAATGCTGCCTATGACCCCAAGAACACCATCCCCACCGTCAAACATGGAGGTGGAAACATTATGCTTTGGGGGTGTTTTTCTGCTAAGGGGACAGGACAACTTCACAGCATCAAAAGGACGATGGACGGGGCCATGTACCGTCAAATCTTGGGTGAGAACCTCCTTCCCTCAGCCAGGGCATTGAAAATGGGTCGTGGATGGGTATTCCAGCATGACAATGACCCAAAACACACGGCCAAGGCAACAAAGGAGTGGCTCAAGAAGAAGCACATTAAGGTCCTGGAGTGGCTAACCAGTCTCCAGACCTTAATCCCATAGAAAATCTGTGGAGGGAGCTGAAGGTTCGAGTTGCCAAACGTCAGCCTCGAAACCTTAATGACTTGGAGAAGATCTGCAAAGAGGACTGGAACAAAATCCCTCCTGAGATGTGTGCAAACCTGGTGGCGAAGAAACGTCTGACCTCTGTGATTGCCAACAAGGGTTTTGCCACCAAGTTCTAAGTCATGTTTTGCAGAGGGGTCAAATACTTATTTCCCTCATTAAAATGCTTTTTTGACATACGTTTTTTTCTGGATTTTGTTGTTGTTATTCTGTCTCTCACTGTTCAAATACACCTACCATTAAAATTATAGACTGATCATGTCTTTATCAGTGGCCAAACGTACAAAATCAGCAGGGGATCAAATACTTTTTTCACTCACTGTACATGCTAAAGTTTTCAATGAAGTTATTAGCACAGACAATTAAGTATTTACCACCTGTACAGCAGAAGCTGTTCCAGAGGATGATGAGCAAAGTTCCTAAGAGAATGTTCCTCTATATCCACCAAAAGGAAAGACACTGACTGGCTCAAAGGGTCTGCCTAATCCTCTTCCCAATGGAAGAGGAGGGGAGGATACAGTAGTGCCCAGGGGCATCTGGAGTGGGGACGCGGGGCATTATGCCACCGCTCTTCCTTTCTCAAGTGTCTAACCTGGCCTGGAGGAGTGGTGTCAGAGGGTTGTGGCCTCCCTCAAAAAGAAGCTGATAAGCCCCACAGAACATGGAGGGGGAGAAAAGGGAGGAGGCAGGAAAGCAGAGTAGATGGCCAGTCATTTTAGAATAAAGTAGGAAAATGGGAATTCAGATCTCTTTATTATAGGCTTTTCAATAATAAAGAAATTAAGAAATACCTACAGTGTAATTCAACTTCCATTTTCCTCCAAGTGGCTGATCATTTCCGTATATCAATAAGGTTGTATTTCTTTACATAATCTCTCGAACTGTGGAGCTACAAGGTAGTAACAAGGTAGAGTGACATCTTTTTTCCTATTTTCCCCAACAGCTATGGGTTCTGACAGGCGTGCGCTATCTCCAGACAGCTATGGAGAACCTTCTACGGCAAGGTGACCCTGACTTGGAGTCTGACGGCTGGCTCCTGGAGAACAGCATCGCCGAGACAGCCCGCTCTAACTTCAAAATCATCAAGAACCTGGGCAAGTGCTACCAGGTGGACGATGATCCTAACATCGACGTTCCAAGTACGGCTCAGCAAGAGGTGCCCACTCGCCAGATCCCTGTGGCTAGATAGCACAGTGCAGCATCCCTTGGCCACGGCTGAGGCACGCAAATGGGCATCAAGTCCCATCATCACCAGGTGTAAGCCTTTTGGATGGCATATCTGTCACCAAATTAAACGTACGACAGCTGTGAACTGAGGGATCAAAGGTGAGAGGGAGTGTAACGGGAGTGCAGCAGTTCACCACAAAGACACAACAACAGGATCAAGGACAGCCGATATAGAGCGTGCGATGAAAATGACCTGCTTTATCACATGATATTGCAGCACCTGCATCATCTAAACTGACAAAAGAGATCTCAGTTGAAGAATATGAACTGGCTGCAACTCTGTCCTTGTGGCATACTCAACTGTCTGGTGGGGCATTCCATTAAGCTGAAGGGGAGCAGGGCAAAGTGAAATGAGGTCAAATAAGTGTAAAACCCAGTTGTACAACCCCATAGACATTGCAGACATGGTACAGTCTGATTGCAATATAATGTCATATAATGGGCCACATGTTATGGGCAACAATTATGCCAAAAAAGTGATGGACATAAACTTTAACAAATTGTATAAAAGGAAATGGAAACAGCAAATTTGAATTGCCTTCTACAGTTTCTTCAACTCAATCTCCTGTGTATAACTTTTGAAGATGCAAGAAAGTATTCACACTCCTTTACTTTTTCCACATTTTGTTGTTTTACAAAGTGGGATTAAAATTGATTTAATTGTCATTTTTGGTCAACGATCTACACAAAATAATACTCTTTAATGTCAAAGTTTTTACTTTGTAAACAAATAAATGAAAAATAAAACACTAATATATCTTGATTAGATAAGTATTCAACCCCCTGAGTGTTAGAATAACCTTTGACGTCGATTACAGCTGTGAGTCTTTCTGAGTAAGTCTCTAAGAGCTTTCCATACCTGGATTGTGCAACATTGGCACATTGTTCTTTTAAAAATTCTTCAAGCTCTTGTTGGTTGTTGATCATTGCTATACTGACATTTTCAGGTCTTGCCATAGATTTTCAAGCAGATTTAATTTAAAACTGTAACTCTGCCACTCAGAAACATTTGCTGTCTTCTTGGTAAGCAACTCCAGTGTATATTTGTCATGTTTTAGGTGATAGTCCTGCTGAAAGGTGAATTAATCTCCCAATATCTGGTGGAAAGCAGACTGAACCAGGTTTTCCTCTAGGATTTTGCCTGTGCTTAGCGCCATTCCATGTCTTTTTTATCCTGAAAAACTCCCCAAACGATTATGAGCATACTCATAACATGATGCAGCCACCACTATGCTTGAAAATATGGAGAGTGGTACTCAGTAATGTGTTGTACTGGATTTGTCCCAAACATAACACTTTGTATTCAGGACAAAACGTTTTTTCTGTACAGCTTCCTTCATTTCACAATATCAATTAGGTTAGTATTGTGGAGTAACTACAATGTTGTTGATCAATCCTCAGTGTTCTCCTATCACAGCCATTAAACTCTGTAACTGTTTTTAAGTCACCAATGGCCTCATATCTTTGTAGTAACTGGGTGCATTAATACACCATCCAAAGTGTAATGAATAACTTCACCATGCTCAAAGGGGTATTCAATGTCTGCTTTTTATTTTATTTTTACCCAACTACCAATAGGTGCCCGTCTTTGCGAGGCATTGGAAAACCTCCCTGGTCTTTGTGGTTGAATCTGTGTTTGAAATTCACTGTTCAAATCAGGGACCTAACAGATAATTGTATGTGTGGGGTACAGAGATGAGGTAGTAATTAACAAATCATGTTAAACACTATTATTGCACACAGAGTAAGTCCATGCAACTTATTATGTGACTTGTTAAGAAAGTTTTTATTCCTGAACTTATTTAGGCTTGCCATAAATAACAAAGGGGTTGAATACTTATTGACTCAAGACATTTCAGCTTTTCATTTTTTATTAATTTGTAAAAATGTCAAAAAACATAATTCCACTTTGACGTTATGGGGTATTGTGTGTAGGCCAGTGACACAATATCTAAATTCAATACATTTTAAATTCACGCTGTAACACAACAAAATGTGGAAATAGTCAAGGGGTGTGAATACTTTCTGAAGGCACTGTATCTACCTATGTGGCACTCGCAATTTAAAAGCGCCTCGAGAGGTAAATTTTCTCCTCGCATAGAATACGAAAGGCTGAACAATTGAATAGGTAAACTATTCTACTATGCGGTTGTCTGATTTTGCTGTTGCTTACTTGTGTTGTTGGCGGCAGAAAATACAATCTGGACAAAATGTTTTCATTAGATCATTCAAATAACCAAAGGTGCCAGATCTCAGCTCCGCCTGGCTCTCATTTGGATCATAGGTGCCGGGATCACAGGTGACTTTCTGAAGGCACTATAGGACCCCGCATCCAATTACTAACCTGTCAAATGGCACTGATTTACAGTAGGCCCAACGGAAGCAGGACCCCAGACCTACTACCACCAGAGGCACCATTCAGCTCAGAGACGCTTTTTTGATGCAGAAATCAGACCTACAAAAATGTATTGCAGTTGTGAAGCTAAAGTAACAGGGCTATATTGGACGCATTAATTGTGGTATTACTGCAATATAACCACAATGTACTGCACTGTAACTGCAATTATATTTTGTAAGAGAGATCAAATGCATAGTATTCATAATGCTAGTGGTTACATCCTAAATGACGGTTGTTCACACAATGGTCTTCTAGACTCAAATCTGGCCTTAGTGGGAGTGAACTTGCTGAGTAAAGTATTTGTCATTATTCGAGGGCCATATAAGGACTTTGAGATTCAAAAAAACAAACATTTTGGACCACCCATTTCCATCCCAGGTTACCAAACCTCAGGAACACATGCTACATGAACTCCTCCATGCAGTGTCTGTTGACCTTGAAAGCCTTCTGCTCAGACATCTGCAGTGTCTGTTGACCTTGAAAGCCTTCTGCTCAGACATCTGCAGTGTCTGCTGACCTTGAAAGCCTTCTTCTCAGACATCTGCAGTGTCTGTTGACCTTGAAAGCCTTCTTCTCAGACATCTGCAATGTCTGTTGACCTTGAAAGCCTTCTCAGACATCTGGGCACCCACAACCACTAGCAGTCTCATCAGGTACACTCAAACATTCACACTGTCACTCATTACCAGTGTTGGGGGTAACGCGTTAGAGTACTCAGATTACTTTTTTTGTGTTAACGAGTTATCAAACGTGTTAGTTTTTCAATTTCAGTAACTTCTACAATATTATTTCTATTTTTCTTCAAGTTTAAGAAGCGGTAGATCTGTTTTATATGTGCTATTTCTATGCTTCTCGTTCCTAAGTTTAGTTTTTGCGTGTTTTACTTTTGTTTTTGTACACCAGCTTTAAACAGCTGAAAATACAATATTTTTGGTTATGGAAAATATATTTCACATTGGTTTAGATGGTACAATGATTCTCTATACCAGGGTTCTTCAATTCCGGTCCTGGAGGGCCGAAACACCTCTGTTTTTCATCCTCTCCTTCTAATCAGGGGCTAATTCAGACCTGGGACACCAGGTGAGTGCAATTATCTACCAGGTAGAAATAAAAAACAGAAGTGTTTCGGCCCTCCAGGACCGGAATTGAAGAACCCTGCTCTATACTATACTTGCTTGTTTTGTCACATAAACTGAAATTAAGTGAACTATTAGAATTTTGCAACCAGGTAATGGAGGAGCGATTTCTGCATAGTGCACATTTAAGCATTACGATGATCGTACCAGTTGCACAGTTATTTATGAGCCAACTTTTTTAATGTGTTTCCAAACAAGCACATAGAGAGAACGTTTGCTAAGTGCGTCATTAGACCATGTGTTGATACTGATAGGATCGAAAGAAAAGCAGTGCTACTCTCGGATCAGTTTTCTCCATTCAAATCTTACCTTAACATTAGAATTATTCCACAACACTGAAGACGGATCAGGTCTTAGAGAGATATTACCACCACCTATGGCTGCAAATAGGCTATTGAGATAGCTTATTATGCTTACCAATAATAATGCACTAAATCACAGATTGGGCACATCATTGCGCAGATGTTGTCACACATCATGAAACACATTGAAGCAGAAATTACAGACAGCAGTCTAGTCGCAAAATAGAACTCAATTAATTGAACATGAAATTGATTTCAATATGACTGAAACAGCCTATATACTATAGCTTAGGCCCATGTAGCCTATGCAGCTTTTAATATGTCTTCCCTGTTAAAATAAAGGTTAAATAAATAATGCAGTCACCTCAGTTTTCACTTGAATCATCATTTTATCATTCACTTGTTTGTAACAATTGCAAATAATTGAATTGGTAGTCAACTTCGTTCTGAAGTTATCGGCAGTCACAGTCAGACAGATAGCCTAAACATCTTGATTCTATGTTTAGCAGAGATCTGTGAATAAAGTAACGTGGAAGGGCAAAAGATCATCTAACAATGCACTTTGGCTGCGCAAAGGTTTTGAAGAGCCATGTTACTAACGAATACTCTTGGAAACACCTCAGCTACTAAAGATTCATTGTAAGGCGGTTCTAACGATGATCTTAATGCTACGAAGGTTCTGTAAAATGAGGCCCTGGCTAGTTACCTAGCTGTAGTCGGAGAATTCCCAATCAATGTGATGAGGCTGCCATTCAAACAGCTAATACTAGCTAGCTAACTGGCTAGCTAAATTTGAGTTGAAAATAAATTGTTGGATGACACATCACATGTATAATGAATGTTAGCTAGTTAGTTAGCTAGCTAGCAATTAAACTTAGCATAAATATTGTTTTCCAATGAGTAAACTAGCTAGCTAGCTAGAAAGCTAACTGGCTAGACATCCATTGATGCTGCAGCCAGCTAGCTAACTAGCTTACCAAAATGTGTCTAACTACCACATGACAATAAAACAGGCCATTGTGTGTGAGTGTGCATTATAACCAGTGGTTAAATTGGGCTGGGCCCGAGACCCGGCACCTATTATCCAAATGAGAGCCAGGCGGAGCTAAGACCCGGTACCTTTGGTTATTTGAATTATCTAATTGTTGTCCAGATTACATTTTCCACAGCCAACAACAAAAGTTAGCAACAGCAAAATCAGACAACCCCCACAGTAGAATATAGGGGTGTGCCGACATGGCCATAATCGTAATCGCAATCATAATTGACAGATAATAATCCGATCAGATGATACTCGTGATTGGAAAAAACTGGTGTTTTAATATGCCTAAATAGATTTAGGCAAAATACTTCCCTGCACATTCTCACTGCAAAACACCTGCAGAATAGAAGCAGCGCGTGGAGGGGTGTGTGTCTGTGTGTGTGCCCTCAACTTGCAGCAGGCAGCCAAGTTTGCTGTTACTCAGTCAGAATGCGCATCAGCGTTTCACCTTTTTTCCCTACCTTTGCCCCGCTTGTTAGATATTATGCACATTGACAAATGTCCTCGCCATTTGATTTATCATAGTAGCAGGCAGCAGCAATCTAAATGATGAGAATGAAAACATGAAACAAAAACTGATTGGTGAAATTATAAGGAGAGTGGACTGAGGAATACAGCACTCTATCCAATCATAACAGCAGGATCTACATACAGCTCGCCCTACAGACAGTTAGTTGAGTTATTTAGACCACGTAGAACCTTGCACATTATAAAAATGAGAAAGATCCGTGCTGGCACCTGAAATTAACTT